CGTGTAGATTGATATCGTCTGATAAAGCTTGGCTCTCTCACTGGCTGTTAGGCCGGCTCTCTTTGGTTCTCATGTAACACACAAAGAGAAAGAAGTGAAGAGAGCCAATAATATTTATTAATTGAATATATGTAGGCTTGCCTCTATGTTTAATACTAGTAGGGTATTTATTATTTTTTAATATTTATTTTTTTTAAACCAGGAATGACTAGTTTCTCTCTGTGTATCACTAATTACACACCCATACAGCTGGACTGTCCAGACTGATACACAAACACATAGTCAGATTACACCGCAGACCGCAATACATGTGTATGACATAATATTAATTTTTGTCGTCGACGCCGATGCCGACGCTGACGTTAACGGTGGCGGCGTCGCGACGGCTCCCCCATTTCATTTCAAGCCACAGTCTACCCTTCTGGAGCCACCCACCCCGCAACCGACTCGGACTCGGATTTAAATGGGATCCCGGGGAGTGGGGCTGCTTATTACGGCACTTGATGGCGCTGCAGTTTTGTTTGGATTTCTCTGGTTTTCGTTATTGCGAATTATTGACGTAACGATATTGCAAATTGAGGAAGAACCAATAGGGAGCTGGACTGGATTTCAATAAACACAAGTCTGAGGTTTTTCTGCTGATTTTATAATGTTATGATATCTTAATATTTATTTCAGCAAGTCTGCACATAATATGTTTATTTTTTTCCTCAGAAGTGAGGAAGATGGAAATGTGCTGTGGTCAGCACCTGTGCTACTAAACCGAAATATGTATCTTGAAGATTGTTTATACCTTGAGAAATGTATCTCATATGCATATCTCATAAAAATAAACCCTTTCTTTCAACTAACTGTCTCTAAATCTAATCTAACAACTATTCCCCTTGGAGGCACTATGGGGACTGTACCGATTAAACGCCTAGCCATCGCTCCATGCTCCGGCCGTATACTATACGTTTTTATCATCACGCCACCGTCAGCCCAAGTCCACTTCCACTTCCAGCTCCAAGACTGACCGACCTCAAAACCCCTGACTCAGATTGCCAGAAATTTTCCAAAATTGTCCAGACGTTGTCGCCTTTTTGCGTAGCCTCTGTTTATTTTGAAGAGGGGCGCGTGCCAAGGCTTCCTATTCGGACCAGTCGCGTGTTGGGCGACCCGATTTCGGAAACAGATTAGTGGTACTTGGGAATGATAATGACTTGTTCCATCTGCATGTTGAATGTTTTGATTTCAATTATTTTAGTGTCAAGAATTTTGCATCAACAAATTTTCCATGGTGGGACGCGTGCGCTGCGATCTTATCAGGTGGAGCGTATGGAGTGAATGGAACTAGGAGGAGGCTCTACCTATCTGACCATGTGATTCGGATCGTAAAGAGTAGCGAGCGAGAGAGCGCTTAGCCCCTCTCTTGAGCTTTTGAACGAGCTTTGCCGATCGTGCCAAGAAGTTACCAGAAAGTGCTGAATAATGAAGGTACATTGAAGCAATATTTAAGAAAACTAAAACTAGAGGTAAAAATTTCCCAAGAAATAAATAAAAGGGGCAATAAAAGTAACCCCAAAATTATGAAAAGCGCCCTATTACACGGTTGGCCTTATCAGACCCCGTTCTTATAACGTGAATGATGAATGGCAACCAAGAGGCCTCTGTTTGCGTTTGTCGTAAATGTTTATAATTAAAGTCCCTCCTCCACTGGCAACATCTCCATCGCCATCGCCATCTCCTATAAACACCAGGCCACAACTCATTTTTTTATGCGGCCCAACTATATCATGAGGGTAAATATTTATAGTCGCCTGGTAACCTCGTCTTTCCTTTCCTCCTGATAACGAAGCCGGCGACACGATGACAGTGCAATTGATTGTGATTGTAGAATCGTGGAATCGTGGAATGGCGACAACCGGCGACGACGTCGAAGCTTCTATTTCACCAATTCTGGACAGCAGTCCATCATGGCAACCAAACGCCACACATACTATAGACAGAAATATGAGAAGGGGATTGCAGGTCGCATGGATTTTATCGAACTCCCCTACACTTGATTAGTCTGATATCAAAGGCCTTAAGTGCCGACAACGACTCCACTATGGGTTCTAGATTCCAGATACAATGGGGTCAGTTTGGAGTGTACTTGAAACTGTGTATGGGTACTATGCATATCGATCGCAGGTGATCGGCTGGGTAAATACTAGGTGGGTTTATCTCAGGGGAAGTCGTTATATGGGTGGTAGTGGTGGTGCTGGGACTCGATATGTTGGTTTTAAGGGGTGGGGCTACCCCACCATATATCAATTAGTCGGTGGCATCTGGACTGGACTAATTAATGACAGCATGCTGTGTATAATTTATAAACTATCTTTTCAGTACAGTAGGAGCTTATGGTACATAAACCAAATATTAAATAATAATATTTTTAATGTCATAAGAATATTATATTTATTTTCTTAATTTTTAGTTTTGTTAAGATGTTTTAAGATATTTTGAAGAACCTTTGCCTCACCGTACCATGTGCTGTTTAATTGAGAAGCGATCCCAGCGTACTCGCTCTCCCCATCTGGCCTCCCATTAACCGCTATTTGCCAACGAATTAAAAAGCAAAAAATAACAAAAATTGTTAAATAAAGAAACCAATTTGTATATGTGGTAATCAGAAGGAAAAATCAGAATTTGTCACATGGCCTGGCTATTTAAAGGGGGGCTTAGGCCCGCGCCAAAAAAAAAGAAAGAAGAAGGAAAATTGCAAAAGCCCGTCACTATCACACGCCCACCCACCCCAACGAGAGTGTGAGTGAGAGGCAGAGCAAACAAACCCGATTCGCACTCTCACCAATGCACGTGTTTCTTTCAGTTGGAAAGGTGTCTTGAATGAAAGAGGGCGGTGGCAGGAGAGCGAGATTGGGACTCACCTTTGGTGGACAAATCCATGATGTTCTCCCGGGGCGCGTACATGGCACTTATTGGCAATTACCGATTACCGATTCACAAGCGTGCTGCACAACGCGTAACTGAAACTATTTTGAAAAGATTAAATCATTTTCTTGGCGGCGCGGGGGAGCATGGAGCATGGAGCCTAAATTGAAAATCAAAACACACTCGTGTTCTCCCAATACTCCAATCGTGTTACACTCACTGGTCTCTCTCTCGGGGTGCTGCAGCCGCGGCTAGCCGGTGGAACGCATCACGTGGTTGTGTTATTTGTTTGGGGCTGGAACGAGGGGGCACCGATGGTGGGGAGACCGATCTCACCAGAGAGAGAGAATGCCATTTGAACGAGTGCCAAGTGCTATACCGTCATACTGCTCACTCCCACGGCGTGTTATATAAGGCTTATGTAACGGTGAGACAGCGGGGCATGCGCACATGGGAACAGTGGATCGGGGGTCGTAAAAATAGAAATCTATACAAGTACTGGATGACGGCCCCACTATACGCTATCCGACGATGACTAATCGCAAGGGGTCTATTTTAGTAATGCCGGGTCAGGTTGCAAAAGGATTTTATCAGCTCACGGTGGAATAAGATATTAAAATCTAACAATAGTCATAAATTTATTATATTGGGGGCCAACTCCAAAGAAATATATATATTTTCAAAAAAATATACCCTATGCACAAGAAAATGGGGTCATGGGTATTATAAAATCCATCAAGTAATACCAATTTTCAAATTTTCAGCATTATTTTCGGGATCCCTTTGACAGAGGGGTTATGTGCACCTCGTCAAAATAAACTCCACCATATTTGTTATGATAAATGCCGTAAAATCCTTGCTCCAAAGCTAGATAAACTGGCCCAACATCGACGCACCACAATCAATTTGATTGGCAAGCTGTCCCCCCAATTTAGATACCACATAAGGTATGAGAATTAGTCTGGGGATTATTTGGCCGGGGAGCTCGAGGGGTTGTCTCTTTTGGTGGGAACGAATGCTAATACCTCGATAACTTAAGTGATATTATTAGGTCTAATGAGCGTGTGTTGTAACAAATTAGTTTTGGGTGGAAACATCTTATAGATACTCTACATTTAATGTTCAAAAAGATAAAAGTTAAAATCTTTAAGGTGTTGACAAAATTATTTGATTATTTAACTCAAAATAAGATGATCAAAGTAGCTCAAAATAAATTCTTAAAAATAAAAACATTAATAATTGTATTTCTTTTTCATTCTCAAAATATTCGTTAACTTTCAGGTCTAAAATAGAAAGTAAAAGAAAGAACTTCTTTATGCACCTATGCAAAAGTACTTTCTACACCCTTCATAAAATTATAGCATACTTTTTGGAGCATCTGTGGAAAAGGTCTTACAGCGGATCCGGTTTATGTTTTACACTGTTAGCGCTCTGTTAAACGTGTAGGGTGTAAGATCTTGTCTTATTTGAATTAAAAACACGATAAATAATGCTAATTGGTTTTTTTAATTTAAGTTCTTAATTTTTTTAATTAATTAATTTTTAATTTTTTGTGCATTAGACATTTCATAGGTATGTAGATGTAGTTTCCACCACTTTGAAATAAAAAAACACATTTTTGGATCTTTCTTATAGCTTTATTTCGATATTTATTAAAACAGTTTCAGTATATATTTTGATTTTGTATGTATCTTATATTTTTATAGTGTTAGAATGAATAAAGTACAACGTCCATCTTTAGGCACATTATTTGAAAATATTCATTGCCAGATAGTAAATAGTATAAATGAAAGTATTATTATAATTATAGAACTATATAACTAAATAAATACTAAATACTATCCAAGAATAAATATTAAATATTATATAAAACCCGTTATTTACATTTATTTCTTTAGTAAATACCTTTATAAAAGACGTATCTAAACAAAGAGCATAGTCTACTTTTAGTATGCTTCGGTAAAGTTAGTAAAGTAAAGTTATCTGCGCAGCTTTCGTGAAGAATTAAGTTATCTGTTAGGTTGTTGTTGCTATCGCTACATAGAGTGGCCAGCCATACCTTTAGGGTTAATACCAAAAAGCGAGGTAGAGCGGCAAAACAGAGACAGCAAGAGGAGGCCGCTACCAAGTAATCATTTGCGCCTCGTCGTGTTCGGACGTTCAGAGAAAAGCTGCTCGTTTCTCTCCTTTTCGCCTTAGCGATTTAGACGCGCGCGCGCCAATAAATTTTCAGAAATTGAAATTGATTTCCATTAATTCGGATTGGAAAAAAGCCGAACGAGTGTCAAAAACCGTTTCATTTGTTGAGCGCGAAAGTTTGCCTGTGTGTGAGTGAGTTGCCTGGCGGATGTGAGAGTGCGTGCAAAAATGCAACAATAAATATTAAACACAAAAATAATAATAATAGTAAAATAGCTGAAGAGGAAAACATCAACAATGCCAATTTAAACGAGAGCTAAGCGCTTAGACCAAACAAACCCAAAAGGAAATAGCGCCCATTTGGCGAACAAAAAAAAATAGGCATAGCGCGTAAATTAAAGAAAAATATTGCAAATTCCTGATCCGGGCGATAAATATGCAAAATACAACAGCAACAAACATGCAGCAAACGGCGGATCTCGAGTTTGATTTCCAGATGCCGTGTCGCTATTTCAAAAGTTCTTTTGCGCGTTCGCTTTCGCTGAACAACAACAACAACAACAATGGGAATGGGAACAGCAGCTCCTTGACATTGCCCAAGAAACCGCAGACAAACGAGGCCAAACAACAACAACACAATGATGGACAGAACCAGGAGACAACACAAGAGGGGGGCTGCGAATTGGAGTCTCCCTGCGCGACGCCGCCACCAGCTCTGCCGGCGCGACGTCACACGGCCAACATGATACACTTTGGAGCAGCAGCAGCATCTAATCAGTTGCTGCCACATTCTCCACACACCCCACAGCAGCTCCAACAACAACAACCACCGCAGCAGCAATCTGGCAGGAATCTCAACCTCGTCTGGCCGTTGCAGCAGCCGCATCAGCCGCAGCAGGTTGGTACAGTAATTACTCGTTAAGTGAGATTAGTTCTAAGTGCAAGAAAGGCAGGCAACATTTTTGAAGAAAAAAGTAATATGTTTTGGTTTCTTTAATAATTTAAATTTTTTGGGAATTGTGTTCTTAACGTGAGGGGTTTATAACGAGCAAACCTTAGTACTTATAACTTCTTTAACGTACTTAGACTATATTATTATTAGTTAAAACCATTTTTATTAATTGGTTAATTAGTTGCCTTTCTAAAATCTTTTTTTTTTTAAATTAAAATTAGAGCTTGAATTACATTAAAATATGATTTTTTCTAGTAAATTCTAAAGAACTCAAGTCTTGTAAAGGGTTTATCTTTTTAAACTTTCCAATATAAATATTTTATTAAAAAGAAATTTATTGAATATTTTAATAAAAATTATCTTGTATGATACTATGATATTTTAGACGATTTTAATATTTATTTAGTGAAGTGTTAATTGTCAATAAAAACCAAACTTAAGATGCCGTTTATCAAGTAAAACCAATAGCATTTTATGCTTTCTTGAAATTCTTGAATACATTATTAAGTAAATTTCTTGAATACTTGAATAAATATTATCTTTATATAAATCTTTTGATAAAATCAATATTTTTCCTAATAGAGCAATCAAATAGTCATCGTATTTATCCTTATTTGTCCCCAAACCTAGTATCCCCTTTATCGAGTAAATCCTATAGCATTTTATGCTTTCATTGGGATGTCGGGACATGTCTCCATTCCACCGTCTTGCCCTGGCTCCACCACCCACTTCCTCTGCCCCCAGCCCCGGCCACCCATCTTTTAGCACTTTGTTATGTTGCCTTGGCAAAAAAAAAAAGAAAAAAAAGTTCAGTTTCCTTTTTGGAGCAACTGGATATTTATGTCACCTTGTTGTTTGTCACGTAGCCTTGACAGCCTCCTCTCCTGGAGACACCGCGCCATTCCTTCGGCGTCCGTGTGGCTCTGGCTGTGGTTGCTGCTTTTGGGTTTGTTGGCCATGTTATGACAAAGATTTTGTTTCGCTGGCCGCTTTTTTTTTTGTTTTTGTTTCTGCCTTAAGGTCAACATGATTTATGCGCGAAAAAGTGTTCGAATTGTTGGGGCGACGTGTGGGCCGAGATTGGAGAGGAAAACTTCACTTGGCATTGATAAGGAGACACACATGTAACATTTATGAAGTGTTTTAATGAGTTCAGTGGCGGACAGTGAGTGGAATTGAAAGTTGACCAATGCAATTTAAGGAAAAGTGGGTAGAAATGATATATTGAAACCTGAATGTTGTAATACTTGGTATTCCTTTGGATTTCAAGGTCTCTGCCACCCTATGACCTTAGCGCCTCGCAATCAATATAGTTCCTCAATTCATTTTCAAACAAATATTCCAATATTCACCCACGGACACGCTGAAAACCCTACTATAAACATCGAATGGAAAACGTTGGCCAACTTGGCCTAAACTGTGTAATTAGCCAAAGAATTATTGTGCGTTTTGTTTGTTGTTTCTGCTCCTTATATGTTTATGCCTCGTTTTGGGGCTAAGACCATTCATTAGGGCGTACTGCGTGCAAAGGTCGGCCGGTCGGGCTGTGATTTAATAATGATTGGCTTGGAAGGAGGGGAAAACGGGCCAAAACTTACATCCGATTTTAGCTGCCATGGCAACAATCAACAAGTTTATGGCCTTTTGTGTTGGGCATGCAAAACTGGCAATCGGATATGGCTAAAACCGCCATTGGGAAGTCTCATTACGAAATGTCGCCAAGATTTTGCGGCTTTAATAGCCCCTGTGATAAAACGTAATGAGAAAAAGTAGCAATAGTGGCAGTAGCTTATTATTTTTATTTTCTTTATTTTTCTTTATGATTGTCACTTGATATTGTTGCTCGTTTGGTTCGTTGTTGTTGCTGTTGTGGCCTCTTGGCCACACTTGAATGGCTCCGCTCCGTTGTCGCATAATTTGAATTTTTCTAACGCAGCTGCTGTTGCTGCTTTCCCTACCAATGCTGCTGCCAACTACTGGCAACTGGCAACTTGCGGCTTTTGGTGTAGGAGTTGCATGCAGCGGCGCATGGAGTTCAGTTCCATCCTCCCGAGGAGGAGAGTTCATTGCATTGGCTTTTCACTTTCAATTGGTTTGGCTTTGGAGGTGTTGGGGGGAGGCTACCTAACTAACCGCACTCGAAGTGTTGACAGCTGTCTTATGGTAACTTTGGTTTTCGGCTGCCAGACCCACAACAATGGCCCGGCATAGAAGTCAAATTACGTTGACCTTACCTGGGAGATATTATCCAACAACACACACATGGACTAACTTGATGAACGTTTAATTGATTATTTTATGCCAGAAATTGAAAAACCCAACTGCAGCCTTGATTTGGGTTGCCTCCCAATCTGAAATATCCATCATCATCATCTCGTGTCATTTGAGGCGTTTAGTCCATAAGATTGTCATATCGCTGGAAATGTCTTTATTATGTCGGTTACAACACCATGACCAAAGTAGGAGTATTATTCAGTTTTTGGTTGGCTAATTGGCGTTTAGGGTAATTGAGGGTAATTTCAGAGCCCGACTAAGGGGTATATCATACTAAAGTTTAAAACTAAAAAAAAATGGAAGATGAAGGCAAGATTTTTACAAAAAGTGGTTCTAGTTTCATAGCCAAATAAGTGATCTCTCCATAAATGTCTTCTATAGAATGTATTTTTTTTTACAAAGTTCATTGGCTTTGCTTAAACTCCTTAGTTGAATGCAAATATCCACTCGAATAAATTTATTTCCATATAAATCTCAAGTCTTATCCCATATTCCTCGACCCAGAGGCGAAAAAAAGAAACATCAAAATTTCGTACGGCACTCTGTTGGAAATCCCAGGGGCTGGGGGCCTCATCATCGTCGCATCATCGCTCCTGGCATCTTCATGTGGCGGAAAGAGTGCTCTCGGCCATTGGGCCACCACAGTTTCATTCCATCTGCCCGTCAATCGTCAACGGTGCACAATGTTGGACCCAAAAAGGGGGTGGTGGCAAGTGGCAGAGGCAAGTGCCAGGGGGGAGAGCGTTGCAGAAGTGCAGACGCCACTTTGCCCCAGGTTGCATTACGCAAAAGGCAAAAAAAAGAAGGAAATGTTGGAGTATAAAGAAAACTTTAATTTATATATTTTTGGGGAAAGGGAAGTATGATACTCTTGGGGAAGTTTATACCCTATATTGAACTGTATTTTCTAGAGGAGTTCCAGGGATACTTATTCTAAATGTTCTTAAAGTTTGGTCTAAAAACCTACAAATATCAAGATCAATAAGAAACTAAATTAAATAACTATCATAAAATAGGGTAGATTTGTATTTAAGCCCCCTAGTTAAAAGTGTTGGATCTCTCGCTTAGGAACGGTATAAATTTCCACTTCTCTAAACACATTTAATCCCCCCAAAAGCCAAATGAAGTACCACTTCCAAGCTCTTTCCTTCAAAGACTAATATCCCCCATTTGAAAAAAAAAATAGAGTGCCCGGCTCTCAGCAAAGGAAGAAAATAAATGTGTCTGTTGATTTTGTGCATTTGGCGCTGGCCACACAACGCACCAGGGAGTTGGCCCCCTCCGCCCGGCGGACGCCCCAGGACAGCTCCCACATAAATCCTAAGCGGAGGGACAGAGAGAGCATTTCCCCCGACAAGTGTGATATTTATTTATAGCCCGGCCAACTCGTGCGAAAATTTCATGGAAAAAAAGCCAAAACAAAAAATTGGTAAGAGGCAAGAGAGAGGGAGAGAGGCAAGAACCGAAGTGCAAGATAAATGCAGAAATGGGTTAACTTGGCTTGAATGTTTTATTCATATGGCCAGATACAAGTGCGATGAATGAAATGCAGAAAAGAAGAAGAGGCTGAAGAAATCATAACAATTTCTCTTCTTTTTGTTACCAATTTTTTTTCGTCTTTCAGCTTTTGATTGAATAACCGTAACAATTGCAACTGTCAAGACAATTTGAGAAATATTTTAAAAGGAGCTTCGTGTCTGAACCGCATCGCATTGGCATTCCAATTTGGCCTGGACCCAGCTTGCAGCTCTCTTGGCCAAGTATTTTCATTTGGCAACAGTCAGCAACTATGCGATTGATTGACTAACTGAGCGACTGAATGACTGACTGACTGACTGAGTGAGTGACTAGATGACTGGATGACAGAGTGAGCTTGTTCGGGGCATTTTGCATTTTGGCCCGATCGTGAAATCGTCTTTCATCGCACCAGTCTCATTAGGCATTTTCCCAAGCCGGAAACTATTTGGCCATAATATTTGGTCATCTCGCCGCTGGAGAGGGGAATCCAACAGTCTCTTTTGGGATTGGCACATTGATTTAGTTTGCAAGTGGCCTGGCCAATACAGACCTTACTTTTCCACTATTTTTGGTCAACTTTTATTTGCGTTTAGGCAATCATTCAAATGCCTCCACAGAGCCAGAAAAACTCAACCTCCAAAAGGGGCAGACTACAAAGCGGAGTGCAATTAGCTTTGGTAATTGAAAACTTAAGATATGGAGACCAGGTTCAAGTGCCCCAGTGGCCATGAAAAACGCATTTGGGGGAGATATTACCCCCCACGAGGGTATATCTGTCTTAATATTAATCCGATTCCTAAGCGGAGTACCTTAAAAGATTCGAGGATCGATTCTCCACGAATCTGCACCAAAATCTAAGGACATAATATTTTTTCAATTTTTTGTCAAATTTTGTGGAGGGTCCCCTTCAAAAATCCACAAAAGTGCATTGAGCCACTATAGGGCCCATAGCGACGGCCATATCTTTGGAAATAATTATCCGATTCTCAAGCGGAGTACCTTAAAAGATTCGTGGATCGATTCTCCACAAATCTACATCAAAATCTGGAAACAAAATATTTTTTCGATTTTTTGTCCAATTTTGTGGAGGGTCCCCTTCAAAAATCCACAAAAGTGCATTGAGCCACTATAGGGCCCATAGCGATGGCCATATC